CCACAATTTTACTCTGTGCGTTAAAAGGGCAGGAGGGGTTGTCTAAAACATGCAGTCATTTGTGAGACTAAAATTTATACAAATGCTATTGTATAAAAGCCAAGAGTCTGCGCTTGTGGATTATTTGATCACAAATTTAAAATCATGGCATACAGAGCCAAATCCCCCAAAGTAACATTTTAAAAAGACATAAATACAATGTATATAAAGCTATTACTTATTGTGTTCAAGCTGGAAAATATCATGGATCCTCCCTCTGCCATATCATTGTGGTTTGAAGTGCAACATGCATTTGAGTTTGGTATATCCCCCCTATGCTTATTATGAGAACTGGGTCAGCTTCACAGACCACACAAACAGCCTCTTTCACTGGCCATAGGCTTTATCATAGCATAAATAATAGTTTTCTACATTATATCACATAATGATAATATAAAATGTAAATTATTTTATATCACATAGTCATTCCTCCTTTTTCATAGGACCAGGGATATGGGAAGTAGATGGTAAAATTGTAGACATTCCATTGTTATTGTCAGTTTAGATTTTAGAGAGATAAGTTGTGGACATTTCCATTCAGAAATGCGTTCAGAAAGTCCAGTGATGTGTCTTCTCAGATTAACTAAGAGTGTTAAATGATTCTTGATGATGTGGTCTGGTGATTCTTTTTAGCATGACAATCATATTCTGGGGGCTTTTCCGCACTTCTGAAATCCCCTTTTTCATGGTTTATATTTGGTTAGAGTCCATGGGAAGACTGTTTTTGTGTTTAAGGAATATATGTGATATACTCTAAAACATACAAGAAAAGAGGAGTGTACAAAAAATTAAATCTGTATTTCTGCATATAGCAGTGGAGCTATACATGCCATATTTTGTAAATGTACAGTACTGTATTATACTATTCTTCAGATTTTTTATGGTGGTTCAGGTGATTTGATAAATGAGACATATTCAGCTGTCTTTATTATGCAGCTTGGTCACTGATATACACATCTAATGTGAACAGTAGAGTCAGAACATACAGTGTATTGGAGATTTATTTATAAATTTCAAATGTGTCACTTTTTTAAATTCTAAATGTGGTTAAAGAACAAAGCAACAGAAAAAAATGAAATGCATACTTGCGTAATTTAGATCAATTTTTAGTATTCCACATGTTTAGCTTTATTCAAGGTTTTTGGTTCAGAATGTGTTTAAGCAGATAAATACAAATTGTTTTCCAGGATACGCTTTAGAAGCCTTGAAACTATAGAGTTACAGTTTGCACTTATGAAAGGAACTACACGGTTTTTTTCTTTGTGCTGGTTTACATTTCATTAAGGAGGCAGTGGTTTGTCAGCACTTTGGACTGGGTTGCTGTTGTGCCGTTAGCATCGAGAGGTACGGCGGAACGTGAATCGATGAGCTTATCACGTATTAAGAAGAATGTTCACACCCGTCCTGTAAGTCTACTCAAGAGAGCCGTAACGTTGCAGAATCACTGGTGTTTGCAGCGATTTCAAATTAATAGCCACATAGTTCTTGTCAACAAAGATGTGTTAGTTCTTACAATAGTCACCGTTACCACAACACAGAAAATTAAAAGCAATATATTTCTCTAGAGGCGGTCTTGAATCTCACAGTGCATTTACTGTTTTCAGCACATCGTCCATTTTTTTTCTCCAAATTTATAAATTCTGCTTTAAACTTCAGGAAAACTGGGACAGTTGTGCCCCAGTAGATAAATATAATGCAGTCTGTTATCTAAACTTTCTTCTGTTGATAGATTTGTCATTAGAGGCATCCTTTGTCATATAGAGGAACTAAATTGTTTTACCATGTCAGTTGGATACCATGTATGACCAAGAAAATTGATTTATAAAATAAAATGACTGATGATGTGTCACAGTGAAATGTCCACACAGCACTGTCATTCATGACCAGCGCCATCATTATTATTTTTTTTTCTAGTCGAAGAATTTAACTAGAGCTTGTATGTCTTTTAATGACTACAATGTTATGAAAAAATTAGGTCCCTGTTGCTGAATTATGAATCTTTTTTTCCAAGGGTTGGTGATTCATATTGTTTGTTAAATGATTCTCTTTTTGACAAATGGGACTTGTCAGCTTTGTTTCTAGCCTGGGTACGATTCAGTAGGCTGCACAAAGTAGTCTAATAGGGGATAAGCCCCTCTCTGTTCACTGTGCTATTGTTGAGAAAATTAGTATTCTTATGGAGAGAGAAGAGCCCAGTTTACACACTGCTAAAGGAATCCATTATCCATTATGTTGACAGGCTTTGGGTCATGTTCTAGGTACCACTGTAAGGTAAAAAAGGAAGGATTTTTCTTCTTTCTTTCACTCCTAAATGTTGCAAACAGTGATTTTGTTTTTAATTGATAGAAACACCAGTCGTACCCTGCAAAGCTAAACACTGTAATGACCGCCCGTCTACTTTTTGCCTCTTTATTTACACCCGGAACTCTTCCAGGTGTTTATTTGGACATTGAGCTTCCCAGCATGCTATTTTCCTCTGTATTTGCTGTATTTCTGTATTGTAGCACGGTTTATGGGTTTGTTTGTTTTGCATGCGTTCACTTTGGAACGAGATACACCTGCGTCCTGTTCTATGAGAGGTCTCTGGTCAGTAGAGAAGGAATTGAATTTGCAGAAATAAGAAAATAATTCTCCTGCCTGATCCATTCAAACGCCTCAAAAACCATGCTCATTTGAAATCTTTGCAGGCTTTGCAGAAATTCTGCATTGGTTCATTTTCACCATTTGTCACATCGGTTTCTCATTGTCTCCCACTGCTAGCTGAATTATTCTGGAACGCAGTTGCGCAGTCGGGGTGCTCTGGATTCAGCTGAAGCCTAGGGGCTCACCACATTGTCAGTGCCCGCGTCAAGGCGGCTGACATGAACTAATTTTGCCCTGGCCATGATATTGTAGTCGAACAAAAAAAAAAAAAGAGGAAAAATACGCTGTCAGCTGAAGCCTGGAGAAAAAGCAAACGCGGTGATAATTGATCTTCTGATTACCAGCTGTGGTCTATTAAGTGCTATCAGGCCCTCCTGAGCTCTCCGCACTGCTAGCTGGACTAATTTAGCCTTTTCTCTGCTTTCCGTTGCTCTACCTTAGATGGAACTGTATCATTATAATGCAGCTAGTGCTCGGTATGGAAGCTTGCATTTCTGTTGCTGCAGTCAGACTGACTGCTGCTGCTCTTGCCGCTATTGCTGAAACCGGGCTATTAGGTTGGCGTACAAATAAATGCAAAACCTCACTAAAAGGGGGTTGAAGGTTTTTGTTTTATGGCATCAAACTTAAAATACTTTTCAAATTGAAGTGTGTTTACTTGAAGGATAACAAACTGGTGGTGACACAAAGACCTTGATTCAGTCCACATTTTTCATTAGCACTGACTTATGGATGAGCGTAACTTTTTATTTTTAGGGGTAGGGGTGATTTGTTTGCTTGCTGAACTGTACACTCGCTTGTCTCAACACTCATCCATGCCTAATCAGATCATACAAAAATACGATGTATAGAAACTAGAAGATGCAAACCCAAAAAAGGATGAATCATGTACAGCAGACCATTGTTAGACAACCAGAGAAATAATACACAGAAAAACCGAAGCAAGGGGTGGTGACGCAGTAGTCTACTGAACTAGTTGGAAAAGTAACACCCCTTCATTAGCCCAGTAGCTTTCTGAAAAGGATACGTACATTCCATCTGTAAAAATACAAAACTGTACATCACAGAATAAGGGGAATCAGAATAGGAGAAAGTTACAAAGCTGGATTTGACAGCCAAGTATTCAGACTCTCACAAAAATGTCAGTTTGATATGACTTTGTTCATTGTAAAACTCCATGGTTGAACTAATTACATTTCTGATTTCCAAGTACATTTTTTCATCAAACCCAGCAGCAGAAGTTGAGCAGAAAGTTAAATATGGAGCTAAACTGAGCAGCACTTAAAGGCATATTTTTTTGTGTGTAAAGAAAAGTACCTTTAGGTGTTTTGTATCTTCTGAGGTGTTTGTCGGCGAAGGATATTGATCAGATCAGTCCACCTTTGGCAGCGGGTTCTCAGAAAGGGTACGTAACGATACGAGCTGCACTGGAGCTAAATGGATCACTTTGAGAGGCCCGTATCATTAATCAATAGGTCGGGTCGCAGCGTGGTATTGACGCATGCAGAAAGGGCGTTTTATCTGGAGTGTTAAGCGGGTTATTAACTCTGGGGTGATCACACAAGGACAGAAGTCAACACGGAAGGGTGAACAGGACATGTTCCCTGTCACTCAAATCCTAGAAGAAGGAAGGCTGCTTTTAATAGAAGATTGAGGCAGGAAATATGACGTTGTTGTTGTTGTTGTTGTTGTTGTTATTTTGACACATACAGCCTTTATGTATTGCCCACCTCTTCCTGTATCCCCATTTAAGATGAAATGTCATTAACTTAATCCTCTGTTATCTGCCTGCCTGGTGCACATAAATGTGTTCTCGTGCTCGTGATAACCATCTTGTAATCCTAATTATAGATACCATTTGTGTGAGAAGCAAGTGAGAAGCGTTGTGTCGTGTCTCGGGTATTGCCATTTCTCTTTGTCTGGCATATTCTCCAAACTGTAGTGGCTCGTCTTTGCCTTATACCACTGATTTGCTCAAGTAAAGTTATATGAAGATCGCGCTTTAAAGACAGCCAATCAGAGCTTTTGGTCATAAAACTGATCCACACAGCATTATTTCAATAGATTTTATGGGGGAAAAAAGCAAACACAACTATATAAAATATACAAAGATAGGACATGAAGTTATATTTTTAAAACAAAATGGGGTTTCTAAACACATTTTCCTGTTGACTTAACACGAAGAATGGATCTGCGCTAGTTTCATGGAGGTATCACTCCATTGCAGGCTGCATTACTTACAGTGCCGCAAAACTGCACCCAAAGGCTCGGTCCAGTCTATATCCTGTCAAGTGAATGTAGCTGTATTTCAAGAGGGATCAATCAAAGTATAATGGTCAGTATGCTGGGCTTTTAACTCAAAGGTCACAGGTTCGATTCCCAGGTAGGGAACTTCTCTTACTCATCAGTTGGTCACTCTGGATAAAAGTGTCTTCTAACTGGCTCAAATGCAATGTAGCTTCTTTATGATGTAGTCCATGAACTGGATAGCCTATAATGAATGGCTTTGTCACCATATACAAGCTGTTTCTTCATCAGTTACTGTGTAGAAAATTAGGGGACATTCAATTCCTTATGAAAGGTTCAAGAAATAACATTAGAAATGATGGTTGAAAACCATTAACTCTATGACTCGATCAATGAAGTAATTTAAGTGGTGATTACTCATACCTTACAATGTTAGAGGTTGGTAAAGCGGTAACTTTATGGGATTGTGTTGTTATGGAGATCATTTCACTCATGTAGTGCTAGAGTTCGTCTTTGAGACACCAGTATGTGTTGTATAATTGGGATGTATTTTAGACTGTCTGATTTAAACTGTAGGATCTTTTAGCCTTTTTTGGCTATCTTGGTTAGCCTGAGCAGTAACCTTCAGGCCCTCTCTGTGGGCTGGATGCTGTGTGGGGTGTTTGTAGACCATTGCAGTGCCAATACTCCCATTGGCATACCATGGAGGTACAGCTCCATCGCTGTCTGCATTACCCAGAGTCTACAAGTATAAATCCACTACTTCTTCCATGCTCCAAATTAATTTTCATGTAGCAGTAGTTCAAATGCTTTCTTTTCGCCCTATAAGTCGAAGCTGAATGAGTTTTCCAACAGAAACAGCTTGTAATCTACAAACGGTAAAGAGACGGCTGAGGTAAACAGGGAGAAGCCCATAAAGGTTCAGAGGCTAAATGAATCTGTGCTGCTGATTGGCTAATTAAGCAGCGCCCTGTGTGCGTTCCTTTGAAAGATGTGAAGGTGCAATCAGTCTTAATTAAAATAGTTGCGGTCTCTGTCTTTGCAAAGATCCTGTTTCTTTGCCAAAGTTGTGTGGCATGAATTTGTAAGCGCATATTTGATGGTCGATAATGCACCCTCCCACCTCCAACTTGTAGTTTGCGTTGGCACAGATTGTTTAAAAAATTTTAAATAAATAGTTTTGGGATGGTTTCAAGTACACCTCATTAGCGCAAGTCACAAATGATCAGCTAGATCTTTGTGAAAAGGAGCGGGCCTAACCCAAAGTTTATCCTCACGTGTTCACAAGCCATTAACATCTGAAAGTGTCATTTTTAATTGGATTATTGACTCAAACAAACTCTATTAAATAAAGATCACAGAATCGTCACAGAAATAAAAGTGAGAAAAGTGGCCAAGAGGTGTATCTTGTGAGAATTCATACATACACATGGCAAAATCATAAAACATGAACATACATTGTAGATTATTACAATTTTCTCAGAAACAGGCAGTTATGAATTAAGACAGTATTTAGTTTAAAGGAGTGCAAAGATTTCCAAGAACTCAAGCATATTAAATTTGCTGTATACACAGGGGGTCTTGATGTCCTTTTCAATTCACTGGATCATAGTGGCTGTGTATGATATTTGACTCACCAAGCAGATAGCTGGGAAGTATAAAAACAATTTGAGCATTTTAAAGTGAAACACTTTAAAATGCCATTGCCATTACAAGCTAGAAAAAAATCAAATCATTTCATTTAGCATTTTTTGACCAAGAGAAAATGGATAAAACCTCAACATTTTTCTCCTACTCATCATTATTTTGAATGTGAACAAGCGTTGCATTTTGCAAATAACCCCCAATGTAAATTCCACCATAGTGAAATTCACTGGGTTATTATTTAGATTTTTCATTTAGTAGCCATTACAGACGCTGTCATGTTATTGTTCCATATACAATGGAAATTCATTGCCATCAGCAGTACATTTATGAATGCTGGGTGTAAAAAGGAACTATCCTGTTAGTTTTTCATTTATGATGAAGGCAAGAACACGGTTTGTAATAAATGTAATGCTCTACACTGGCAGCCAAGAAAAATGTAGTCAGTTTTTCACCATTCACACATGGTTCAGAATTTTGTTTCAGTTTGTACATGTCAGATTAAAAATGCACTCAGTTTATTCAAAATATCCGAGTATACCACAGGGTAAATGCTGTTGTTGTTTTTTTTTTTGTGTTGCGAATTAGTTGGTCAAAATTCGTTATTTTTCTATTAAGAGGGTCCAACAGTTTGTTACATTTTATGATGATGACACTTAAATATAATAAAACATGAAACATTTTAAGATCAGAGAGAACAGTCAACTGCTACAATATATACATATTAATTAATTTGTTTGAAAAATAGTGATGTCTATCCAATATCTACATGAAATTCATGTTTTAATTCCATATTTTTACAAATAGATAGACAGACACAAATGTTTTATATTCCACTTTATTCATGCACTGAGCAACCCAGACAGCACTGAACTTGGTCATTTTAGATAATTAACTATCCATTTGCTGTTTGCTTTTTTCTCCCTGTTCAGAGTACCCAGTCATTCTCGTGGGCCTGTGCAATAGCGGGAGATGTTTTATGCATTTCAGACGGTGCGGTCTGTCACTCCCACTCTCCGAAACATTCACAACCACACTGATGCTTTTATCACTCCGTCGTCAACCAGCTGAGCTGTGCCATTACCGTGCCAGAGAGCTGTAATGGGTACATTGTGGGTGACCAGTAGACCAGAGAAGGTAGTATTAGGATGGCAGCATCACACCTCTCAAAAACCCTCTCCTCCTTGGCTATCGTATGACCAGCTCTGCTCTGCACTGTGGTCCTGCTGTCTTCAGTCTGTGTAGGAACAGTCAGGAGGAAAACAAACACATTAATACCCAACGTCTAAGCTAGACACACCATCCTGAAGCCATTGCTTTTGTCAGTTAATAAAAAGTAGCATATGAATAATTTCAGGTACATTATTGTGCATATAGAAACCACTGGAATTCCATTGGAAATTAGCCTCCTTAGGTCTGACAAAAGCATTGCATATCTGTCCTTATTTATCCTTTATTTATTATATAGCACTCCATTTGCTACTTTTGCTCTCTGTAGCCACATCCTGAATAATTTCGAAGTGCTGATTGACCAAGGTGACTATGCTGAGATACAGGTCTACACAATCCAGTAGTAGTATCTGCCATACAATAATACTCCCTTAAATCAAAGCGTCATTAATTAACTGTTAGAGAGCATCTGAATAGCTCACACAGGGATGGCACTCATTCTGAAAGCAAAGCGTGAGACCTGTAGGTGGGTGTTTGAGTCCTGGCAGCTAGTGGTACGCATTGGCATGGCAACAAGTGGCCCAGCCTCACCAAGGAATGATGGGTAAGCTGGCTAGTTCCGTGGGGCTCATCTCTCTCGATGCTCCAAGAATATGCTGATGTTGTAATTCTCTAACAACTTAGGCAGTATATAAATGATATGTCTGCAATGTGCAAAGAAGTGACATTGGTCTTCTCTTGAAGTCTTGAAGAATTCTCTTGCTTGGAGGAGTTTGGTTGTATTCCAGTTGGGGGAAAAGTTGGCGTGAAAAATGAAATGAAACGTGTTGAATTGGTCATTTGGTTGCAAAACTAAATGTAAATATTTGACATTGCGACATTCTGCCATCTGCCATTCTGCCTTTTTGCTTGTATGCCTCCTTGCATTACCTTGCATTTTTAAATTCATTCAATAGCGATCCAAGGTTTATTAAAATGTCCTCTTTTAAGACAATAGTATCACAGACAGGAGGGCTTCTCCGTTAAGAATGTGTGCGAACAACCTCTTGGAGCTTATTTACTTAATATTTTTATAAACAGAAACGATACAATTTTTATTGATTTGGTAAAAATTGAACTTACAGGATTTTATGGTAGCGAAATGGTAGCATGTGAATGGGCGGACGTTAATGTGAATGTGAAGACTTAATTAAGACTTGATAAGTACGTAATTATAATTGGCTGTAGTTTCCCATGTGTCTGTGGGCTCATTCGCCCAATGGGGGTGGTGAACTCTGCAGTGCTCATCTCAGTGACTTCACCCTACCTGACAGATGTGATCACACTGCCCTCATCTTTGGCTTAGCACATCCACACAATCTTGAATAATGCAGGTACATCCCACTCCTGACACCAGTGAGGTGAGCGGGGGGGGGGGGGGGGGAATCTCAAGGGGACAAAAGAGCTTACCTCCCACAGCATTGCAACCAAAACTTAGTGTATCAATCTGCCGCACAGTGACAGCATGTCAATTTTAAGAACTTCTTCAACAAAAGTGTAACAAATGCAGTCATGATGTCACAGTCAGCAACAATCGACTTTTCTTTTTCAATAATTTAGCAGATGATCAAAATATGGAAAACAAAAATAGTTTGTACCAACGTATTTATAGAAATGGTGCGTGACAATATAAAATTTCAAGTGATAAGCATGTCTTCTTTTAATTTTCCCTGTTAGATAATGTTTGTTGGACACAGTCACCAGTTTTTAATGGCGATTGCATTAGTGTTGTTTTCACAGGAGTGGAGAAAGTAATCTTCCTGTTCATTGATACAGAATGCTTTTGTCATTTTGTGCATACAGTGTTTTTTATTGTGTTGCCTTTGATGCAAGTGCAAAAAATGTGTATTTAACATATGAAAAGTAAACTCTTTGGCTTGTTTTAGAGTATGAATCACAAAAGTACACTTTATTATTGTGAAAAGAGTGCTTTTGTTATAAGAAATTTTTGTCACCGCCCCCATAATTCAATGTGCATTACTAAGTGCGAACAAGACGCGCTGTGAAATACTGTATTCATTTCAACCATCGATCATTTTCACCTTACTGCAACCTATTGTCGATAAAAAATATGCACTGAATTCAAAAACAGAATTAATAAGACTTCACATTATGGAAAGAAATCTCCCAGCTAAGAATATGAGCACCTCAAACAAAGGAGAACATGTTGTGTGCGTTGTCAAAGTCAGCCGGTCTACTGCATGATGAATTGGAATCACCCAAATTTTCATTGTGGGGGGGTGTATTCTATAAAAGATGGTGTAGGTGTCTGGGATTGGTTTGCTAACAGG